ACATTTCCAAATTACATCTGATCTACTAAAACCTTAATAGTAATTTTTAAAAAAATAAATAAAGTCATAGCTTAGTATGATGTATTTGAATCCCTTTAGACTAGGGAAACTATTAAACCAGTAAAACCTTTATAACTATTTACTTGGAAAAGCTTAAAAGTATATACATATTGATTTATCTTTGGATAAAAAGGCTTAAACTCTAAGGGCAGAGAAATAATACAACATAGAGGAACCAGAGGCCAAAAGACATGTAAATGATCAAGACTGTGGTTCAAAAAAATGGTTATCATGCAACTGATTTCATTTAGGATTCTGACTTTCAGAATAATTTTTGCAGTTTTGGTATCCTATGCTGGAATTGACTATCTCTTTGTCCAATCAAATGCTCATTGATTGAACATCTCTTGGAAGTCAGGGATTATGCAAAAAGAAGAAACAAGAATCTGCCCTCAAGGCGTCATCAAGAAGACAGCAAATGACAACCAAGGATTGTATGTATATCCAGGTTTTCTCCGTTATGATGTGAAAGTTTAGAGGTAGGAGCCACTGGCTACCTGAAAACTTTAGGGAACCAAAGGGAACATATTTTGGGTGGAGTGTCTTGATCATCAGGTAGAAAGGAGCAGGAAGGGGATTTTGTAAGTGAAATAGTTGGAGAAATAAAAGGCCATAGGATGGGTGTTTGCTCATGGGGTGGTAAAACGTGTTGATTGCTTGAAGCACAGATTCTGGATCTGAGTGAAGGGAGCCTTTGGAATGATGTGAAAGGGAGTTGGAAAAGTGTGGTATGAAGAATCTGTACCATGCCTAGTATCCCTCACTCAAGATTTTGAACTTTCCCTCATAGGCAATGTGCATTCATTAAAGCTGTTAGAGCAGATATGTGAAGAGTAGACTTGCCCTTTGGAAAGATACTACAGGTTTTGAGCTGAAGCTCATCGTCATCATCACGGTCACTTCCTAGGCTTTAGCCACCATGCTGAGTGCTTTCACACAGTGTTCACAACAAGCCTGTGATGCACACAATGGCGCGATCCTTGCTATTTTGCAGACCAGGAACCTGAGCACAGAGACGCCAAGTGACCAGTGAGTGAGTAGCGAGCATTTGAAATCACAGTCAGTGTGACTCCAGATTCCATGTTCACAATCATTTCATCCTCCCTTTTACTTTTTTTTCTGAATAGAGAGAAATCTTAATTCATTTTTAGTTGAATATGAGGTTGGTGGGAAAGTTGAGGCCAGGTCTTGAGACCATAAAGGAAGTTGATCTTCGTAGTTGATTTTTCTTAATCAGAACCATCTGCTGTACCAAGGAGACACCCAAACACAGAGATAAAATGTTGACAAGATTCTTGGGTATTCTAGGGGACTGAAGAGGCAGGTGTGATGGTATCTTGGAGGGTAGTGTAGTTTGGTGGGGATGAAAAGAAAAACTAAGCTATGATTTTTCATCCCATGATTCAGTTTTGGGGAACCACTACCTGGGTGGTACATTAATTTCCATAATAAAACTAATATTCTTGTTTTTAAGATTACTGGAACACCAATCCTCCACTAACACTTAGCACTAAATGAATATAGAGCATGTGCTAGGTGTAGTGCTCAGTATTTAGGTACTGCTCCTTCCTCCTGCCTCGGGACTCTATAAGATTACTATGCTCT